CGACTCCGAATTTGAGTCGCAATTTTCGCGGTCGTCACTACAGTGACTTTTCTTCTTCTTTCGGCCTTTGGCCGACTTGGGGCTCTTCCACTTGGAATCCCGGATCCGGACTGACTTGTCCTTCTTCGTTGGACTGTGGATTCTTCTCCGTCGGAGAGCGATCCCGCGTCCAAACTTGGTTCGGCCCGGCCCGCAGCTTGCTCAAGGTCCTTGAGTCGCCGCGAAGCGCGGTAGAACCGGTCGTCGATGCTGTCCCTTGTCTTGGCCAGCGTTTCCAGGCCCTGACTCCCGTCTCGCCGCGCTTCTTTCGCGGCGAGCTTTAGCGAATCCAGCACTTCCGGATCTCGGCCCGGGGACGCATCGGTACTTAAATTCTCAACGAGACCCACACGAGCTGTCAGCTCTTCAAGCGCAGCATGGAACTCGGATTTTAGCAACTCCTGTTGCTTCTGAAAAATGCGCAGATGTTCGTCGAACTTGCTCTTCGTCTCCTGACAAATCTCCTCGCACAACTTTTCGAACTTCTCTTCCAGGCCATTTTTCTCAACGGCTGTCCCCGAAGGGGACGCTTCTGCAACTGGATCAGTAGCCGAATTTCCTTGGCTTCGTGTACGAGGTCCTCGCGGAATCCTCGACTCTTGAGCTGATCCAGCCCTTCTGACCCCAGGACCGACACCCTTGGGTTGGCTTGATGCCATGGTCCGCTCTTAATAAACGAGACCTTATCGAACTAATTTACCTATTTCCGACTTTTGATTTCGGTTCCAGATTCCAGGTGGGGCTTCGTATTTTCCAGATTCTAGGTCGGGAGACCACTTGTGTAGTGCAATGTGCCTGTAAGGCCGGAACCAGGGTCCAACGGTCCAGCGACAACACAACCAACAAACGACAACCAACAAGAGTTGCCGACAGCACAGCCCTACGGAGTGTCCGATTCTCCTTTTCCCTTTAAGTGGGTTTGCGGCCCACAGTAGCTCAAGTCCCTGATAGGGGGGAGCAAAAAGGAGAGGCCTGTCCCGGGACGAATGGTGGTAGAGTCTTGTACAGGCAGTTGCTCGGCGATTTCGGGGCGGTGATTGGGAAGCCGGGCCCGATGGGTCGTAAATCCAATGCTCGCCGAGCACCTGTTACACCTTATACCCTTGATAAGGTCTTCGACGGGGGCGTCGCAACGCAGCCCTTCGGGAATTAGCAAACACGTAGCAGCGCTACACCTCTGTACTGCCCGATGGCAAAGTACCGACACCGGAACGGTCGCAACCTGTATCCGATGGAACCAACACTGCCCTGTATACACAACAGGACCTTCGAGGGAGACGTCGTCGCAACAGCCTCCGTCGGTCGACATAAACAAGTAGCAGCGCTACACTCACGTGTCGCCCGATGGCCAAGACACCTACACCGGTCCGGTCGCAACCAAAGCCGATGGCACCAACACAAGATAAGGGAATAGAAAAGAGATAGAAATAGAAAAGGATAGGTGAAATAAAGGAAAAGAAAAGGGAACCCCCGAGCGCAAAGGATAACGTAATCTGTGGTAAAAGGGAGCGTCTTGGGAAAGACGGACTTCGACCAAGGCCATATTCAACTCTGGCAACTCGGGTTACCTTTACTGACTTGGTGGTCAGAGGGCTAAGGTATGTATCGCCCCGCCGGAGCCACTACAGTAGCTCGCGGCGCTAGATCCTAAATCTAATCTAGTGTCAGCAAAATTAATGCCAACTAATTAACTAAATAAAATAAAATAATTAAAAATTCAAACTGTGCAATTATTCACACGTGTGTCCCCCAACCCGGACTACTTTTCATATCCAAATATTTTCCTTTCTTTTCACCCCCCTTTTCAGGTGCGTATTGCACTACACATAGCATGCCTCACCGACGTCAAAATACGGGCCTTCTGTCAGTATGGTGCTGGGCAACCTAATTATATCTTGGACGCCATCGCAACGTTCGTCGCCTCTCTAGTCGCTCACAAAGTGGGATATGACGTCACAATAAAGTTTTGATGATTGCTATTGCGTTTCTCACCAGATCGCGTGACCCCTCGGGGGAGAGGTGTATCAAGGAAGAGTTTATAATGTCGTCGTATTCACCACTCCGAGGAGCGGCCCCAGCCAGAACAGATACGCGGTGGCTGCTGTCGACATTAGCGTTAGCAAGGAGTATGAAGGTTACGAGAGCATCCGATAGTTGCGCTTCTGTAGACAAAGAATTGTACTTTGAACTTTGGGCCTCAAAGCGCGACTCAAAGTCCTTGAAAGACTCATTCGGGCCACGTTTTGTATTCACGACCTGCTGGAACGTCTGATACACATCACTGATTACCGCTAGCGGCTCTCTTTTTTTAAACAGCCTTGACAATTTCAGATACACCGTCGTTCGACTGGATTGTTGTGCTGGGGATCCTTTTAGAGAGGTCAAGAGCTCTTCCATAAAGCTGCGACTGTACTGTAATCCCTTGAAGTTCACCTGCAATTTTGTTGCTATTCGCCTCGCGCAGCCTGTCATGAAGTGCCTTTCTCAATAGAACAGCATTTTTGTACGGTTCTTGGTCTCCCTTCCCATCTGTCCACGGCACGTTGCGTACATCCCAATAGAATTTCGGGCGTGAGGGCACGTCTGGGCCCATAGCAAGGAAGGATGCGATACAGTAACAAAGGAAGAGATAGTGGTTCGGATTGTTGGTTCGGGCGGATCAGAGGCGGAAAAGATGGTTCGGGGCAATGAGGTTGTGGTTCGTTTTTGGTTCGCCTGTCTCTGGTCATGTTAGGACCTTGGCCTATGGCCTATTTTTATTATACGGGAGGGGAACCTGTCATAAGTACGCGCGAATTGTGCTCCAAAGTCACAGTGCTGAGAATCTACGTGCGTCAAGGTGCGTCAATGATCAACAGAGATTGTAGCATAAACATCCCCAGACGACTGGAGGTGTATGCGCAGTTCGACCTGTAGACCCCGGATCGGAGAAGGGGTGAAGCGGGCCAACCAGCAACGGAACCGGGCTCGGGCCCGGGTAGCGGTGGTAGAGCGGGAGCGAGGAGGGACGCGCGCACGCACGAGCGGATCGACGCCTCGACGCCCCGGAGCAGCACTGGGTGACGTACCAGTGCTGACGGGCGGAGGCGGTTCCGTGCTCGCTCGCGTGCTGCGCGTCCACTCCGGCTCGGCTCCGACTAAACGCGCGGGAAGAGCGAAGGCGACGTTTAGAATAAGCTGGGTGGACTGACCTTGGCGGTCGGTTGAGGACAAGTCCGTGCTTGTCCCCCCTTGCCGCCGTCGGTCCGCTCCCTATTTAATATACAAAACAATCTGTCATAACACTACAGTACCGAGGTACTGTAGCGGGCTACTGCAGTGCAGGTCGGCCTGCACTGTAATACTGTCAGCTATGTCGAGGCTGACAGTACACGTATTACCCGTGGTGCGGGCGCGCTTCGTTCGCGCGTGGTGCACGTGTGCACGTGTATGCGCGGGTCCGTTGTCCCCGTGGTGTACACGTGGACCCGCGCGGTTGTAGAGTAGAGCTCGACGCTCTACAGTAGCTGATCTAGTTCTTGATGTAATCTAATTGAAAGCCACAGAGGGGGGGTTATACTACAGAGATCAGCGCACTGCGCACGTATGATCGGATATAAGTGTAGTACAACGGCGCGAAGGCGACGGCACCACCGCCGCCGCCCCGGGGTACAGTACCATGGGCTGTAAGCGCGAGAAGAACTGTAGGGATTTATATTTACAGCAGACGGCCGGTGCAGAGTACAGTAGTACCCCGCCGGTTACACATGTAGGATCCGAACGGTAAGTAATTAGTGGCACAAATTAGCCAATTTAGTACAGTAGCTGGTATACAGTAAGTAACAGCTACTGCAGCGGGACAAGTGTCCTGGCGTCCCACTTAGGGGTTAAGACCGAGGGCACCTGCCTCGTTCCAGTAAACTGGAGGCAGACTCGCCTCCCTTCCCTTTACGGCTAATTGCTATCCCGTTCCGGTTTCCGTTCTGGTCTCAGGCTACTAATCCATGACCGGCCGTCCAGATCTAACACCACCGACCGGCTGCGCGTTACCGGCCACGTGAGCCTTCCCTCTTTTCGAGTCCATCCGCACGGTTTGCGTTCGCGCGTGGTTAACCCAGCGGCGCGCGCTCCCTTACCTCTAACCCCCTCGTTCCCAAGTAGTCGCGACGAAGGTAGTGATACCACAATAAAAATTGGCCCACCGTGTAGTATATCTGCGGACGCGCGCGCTGGGAGATTATTAACTATGCGGCCGTGCACGGTGGACACGTGGGCGGGTGTGCCCACGCGTAGGGAGCGCGCGCGTGTACCGACCGGTCGTGGCGTGGCACACGTGTACAGTAGCACACGTCTCGTCCGTGCGGTATCCGGTAAGCATCATGCGTGTACAGTAGTGCACACGTGTAGTAGCAGCGTCCGTGCGGTAGTAGTAATTATGGCGCTAGCTTTTTAATTGTGTACAGTACCCGGCACGCACTAGGCGGCAAGTACTGTACTACTGTACTGGGACAGGTGTCCGAGGCGTCCCTCTGAGGGGGTAAGACCTGGTACCCGTCGCCATCAGTAAACTGGGGCAAGCTCACCCCGTCCCTTTCGCGCCAAATCTACGACGGTTCGGTAGTTTATCCGCGCCCTGGCTTCTAACCCGTTACCGGTCGCTCCCGTTTACGCACCACGGGGTGACTGCACGTAACCGGCCATTGAGTCTCTTCCTTTTCGCGAGCTCGACTGTATCGGATCTATTCGCGCCGCGTGTCCGCGTCGTGTGCTCCCTCGACAAGGCCTCCGCCTCTCGCCCAACCCAGGGCGGAAAGGAGTTATCCCACACACCGGACCAATTTGTAGAATTGCGACGTCATGTTTCACACTCACAGCGTATGACGTCACTGTACGCAGTCCCTACCGAGCTGGCACCCTTGTCCCCGCTGCTCTGCGCATCGCAGGGGCAGCAGAGATTGCGGACGCTGACAAGCTTCGTGCTCATGCTCGAACTATCCGCGCTGCACTGCATCTGGAGGACAACGCTGACCTCCCTCCCCTTGATTGGAAATTTGTTCCTCTTGCATTTGACACTCTTGGCGCCCCAAGCGCCCGCACCACATCTGTACTTGACTCTCTTGCTCGTCAGATTGCGACTCGCACTGGGACTTTATTTGGAAATGCCAAGTCCCGTCTCTCCCAGCGCCTTAGCGACACGATATAGTCCAGCGTAGCCTCGGCTACCATCGCCCGTATGCCTCATCACGGCTCGGCCCTATCATGTCCCACCCAAATGTGATTCTTTAACGCCCGTCCTGTGGTATAGCATCGGCTCCCCCTGAAAGTTAGAAAAATAAAGGTCCCTCCTGATCCGCTGCCATAGATGTCGGGAAGCTCCGCCAGACAGATCGTCGAGCCGAGCATCCCCTTCGGCCCCGACGTGCGTTGCCGCCGCTCTTGGCGCTCACTACAACGTGAGAGGCGCATGGCCGCAAGAGAACTGGTATTTACCCCTTGATCAAACGCCTGTACTGCGCAACGAAGCAGGTCGCTGTGTGATGCTTTGATCCGCCAAGGACCCTTCCTAGGGAGCTTTCGCGATGCACGGGAGGCTGCTTCCTGCGCGCCCGGCGCGTCCAAACTCAATGCCTGCCCCTCCACCGAAACTTTATCTAAAACCCTGTGGCTGTTTTGAGAGTGCGCCTATGAGATGGAGGAATCTCCCACTTTTTCGGGCGGAGTCAATACGCATTGAGCGTGCAAGATGCTGAAAAAGCGCTCGAAAGCATATTTTATGGATACGGTCGGTCGATACTAGAAAGCCCAGGGCTCTCTATCAGTGTCGTACTGCTGCATGTTTTACCGTCGCAATGGATATCTCGTGAACGATTGCCAGTGCTATTCAAGTCATCCAAGAAGCACACCATGATCAACGAATTCTGCTCACATCCGAAGTCTCCACGTAAGAGTCAAAGAAATATCCGACCTCAATCTCCTGCGTGATCAGCCTTTCCGTGGGGAGCTCCTTGGCCCTGAGCACCCCATTAACATCGTATGCCCAAAAGTGGTGGTCGTTATGAGTGGGGTTGTAGTTGCACGCCACCAACCCGCCAACCGTCGCTAAGTAAGTCACCCTGACCTTCATCGCTCCCCGGGATGCTCGGATCGTTGCAAACACCGCCTCTCCCGGCTCGAGCTCCACAGAAGCGCCCGACGTCAGCCCGACCACGATCGTCTGCGACTCCTCGCCGGACTCGCCCCACCCCCTCGAGAACCCGAAGCTCGTCTCGACCCCGCCGCCAGTGCCCTGGAACTCCACCTCGTAATTCACCGTCTGCGTGAACGTGAACGACCCAGAGTTGCTCCAGCTCGTGCTCACCGTGTTGCGCACTTCCTGGTTTGCCGAAGCGTCAAATGTCGCCGTTTGCGACGACGTGTTGTTAAACGGCACCTCGGCCACGATCACAGGTTCCACGCTTTGGTCAATCACCTCGGCGCTGACCGGCCGGATCGTTGTCGTCACTTGTGGCCAACTGTATTTCGTGTACAGGTCGTCCCAAGGGGTCGGGCTGCGCACAAAGGCGTCGTTGGGCTCGCGACCCGCATAGGCCCCCACAGCGGCTTTGAGGTCGTCACCGGCCAGGCCAAAGGTTCCAAGCTCCGTGTCTGAGATGACGTGCACTTCCGAGCCGTAAGCCGTAGCGGAGCCGGAGCTACCGGCGATGATGTTGACCCCGTTTTCAGAACTTTGGCGCGTGGAAAGCGCCCATGACGGGGCGGTCGCAAGTTTGGATACGGTGTCAACGAGTTGGGGCGAAGGACTGGCGGGAGTAAGGACAGTAAGGAGCAGCGGGACCAGGAGCGAGAGAAGTATTCTCGGGGACATAGTGACGGGGTTGGGTAGGGCAGAAGCACTGGATTGCTTGAGTGCGTGGGTTGGTGCGTGGGTTGGAGGTGTGCGCTTGGTTGTGAATGTGATGGATTCTACTTTCTTCCGAAGAACATCTTCTTCTACTGTGCGCCTTTTAAAGGCTGGATGAACTTGTACCTTGTGCTCTGGAAAAAGCAAATGGGACCAAGCCTAAGGTTACAGAGGCACATCACATTCACTAACACCCACACGGACACGCACACCCACATCTAATGTGCACCCTCATGCGAGCACATTGCGGGTGCAGCAAGCCGCCCCCTTCCGGCAACAACGCCCCGCAATCTGTGGTGGGAATTCTCGGAGGTAGTCTGCCGCCAAATCCCCCACGTGCACAAGAGAAAAAGAAAAGCGGGGCGCCGGTCTTCACTACCACTGGCAGCCGCAACAAGTCTGTCACTCGTTTCAAACGCATTGTGGAAACCAAGCAGGTGCTGATAGAAAACCGCACGCGATTAAACAGGTTGCTCGTAGAAGCGAAAATCGCCCCCCGTCCATTGGCGATATTCATTAGTACGGCGATGACATCGACAAGCCGGAGCTTGCTGCAGCGAGTACTTGCCCTTGCTTTACCTTTCTGCGTTCTGCATCGCCGTCTGTATTGTTGACCCATTTACACACACGCACTTCATGCCCTGGATTATGATACAGAGGACAGCACCATCTGTGGTGGCACAATCCGCAGAGAGTTCGGCGACCGCCGTGGCACCTAGTCGAAGAATGCAACCTTGTATCTGATGGTCAAACTGCGCAGTGCCGCCCATGCGTTGTTACCGAACAGTGCCTCAGCGCGTAGTTCATGAGATGGATAGGTACAGTACTGATATGCCAAGGTGATCGAACATCAGGAGTGGTCTCTAGGAGTTTTCCAGGCTGGTAATTTGGAAATTTGGAAATTTTTCCTACGTCAGGGAGCCGCGACGTTTCTGTACTGGAAGGGGAACCGAGACTCATCGCTGCTGTAGCGCCTTTCACATATCTGTATGACGGCTTTTTTCCGTAAACCAACAAGTCAAGCAGAGGTATGGCACAGCCCATGGACAGCATTCTGTCAACAACACCGTCCTCCAGCCGGCCTTCAAATAGCAAGAATAGTTCCTCCCGGCCCATCCCAAAGCAATTTCCTGCGCGCAGGAGCTGGTTGGGACGCCTTAGAACGGCAGCGAGGTTTGAGCCCGGCGTGGGTTGCACGAGTTAGAGGGAGGGGGGGTCTCTGAACCCGCCGATAGCATTACGAGCTGGCTATGAATAGATGAGAAGAAGTGTTAGCGACAGCGGCAGATGACGGCCATAACAAGTGGAAGGAAGATTAGCGTATAGCTGGCATGTAGTGGATTATTGCGAACTGGGAAAAGGTTGCGTGGGTTACTGGTATTGTTGTGCATCAAATGACAGCATCAGCAGATATGAGGCTTGCGCTTGCGGGGTTTCGACAAAGGCCACTGCGAGGATGTGGAGCGAAAGAGATCGGAAGCACTGTTACGACGAGGGATATCGGGAAGCATTGTTACGGTGAGGGATATCGTGAGGTGATGGTGTTTTCATTTTCTCTGTGGCTGCCAAGCCTGATCGGCTGTTGACACAAACCGCTCGCGCCGCGACTTGGTTTAAGTTGGGTAAGAGGGAAAGAGGATGAGAGTGAAGCACTACATAAGCCTCGACAAACTCTCGTCATCCTCCTCACTTCCACTCTCTCAAGCATCCTTCCCCCAATAGCGCCTCCCACAAACACAACAAAAATGTCAGTTCGACCGCTCTTCGCTCTCTTGTCTCTGTTTGCCCTGGTATTTCTCGCTGAAGCCCTCTCTGCGGCTCAGACGTCCTCCGATCTGACCAAAACCTCCGGCCGCCAGGACGGGGGAACTGAAGTCTCGATCACTGCTTCCGGAGATGATAGCACACCCAGCAGCGCCTCCGCCTTCGGCAGCGAGATTCATGTCATCTCGGACACTGAGATTGCCACTTTCGGGCTAGGCGAGGTGTCGCTCAAGCAAGCTGTCGGTGCGTACAAAGGACGGGAGCCCAATGACGCGTATCTGCGGAGCCCGACCCCGTGGGATGATTTGTACACAACGTACGACTGGCAGCAGGTGACGACGACGATACAGCCGGTCAGTGCCGAGGTGATTGAAAAAACGGTCGAACCTGTGATTGTTTCGACGACGCCGTTTAACAATACGTCTTCGCAGACGGCCACATTTGATGTCTCCGCAAGACAAGAGGTGAGGAACACAGTAACATCCAGTTGGGAGCAGTCTGGGTCGGTGACGTTTGGACAGACGATCAAGTACGAAGTAAAATTTGAGGGCATCGGCGGCGTCGGAGGGTCGACAAGCCTGTCGTTTGAATCCGGTTGGGGAGAGGGCGGGTCTGAGGCGCAGACGATTGTGGTCGGGTTGAGTTCCGGTGTGCAGGTTGAACTGGAGCCCGGGGAGTATGTGTTCTCGACTATCCGGGCCTCACGCGGGACTATGAAAGTGAGGGTGGCTTACCGTGCAACGCTGAGCGGATATGTGGCATGTAACTACGACCCAACATTCGAGGACCATCACTTTTGGGCATATGGAGTGAACAGCGTGCTTGCAGCCGAGCAACGGTCAACAGAGGTGATCGTGGAAGAAGTTTTGGACGTCGGGTTTTACTTCAACTCATATGTGGAAACTTCTGACGTGCAGCACACTGCTTAGGTGAATAATCAGAGACGCAATATATTAAACGGACAGCACGATGGTTGTCGTATCGTATATTTGATCCTTCGCGCCTCCGTAATGTGTTGTGCTTGTCAACAAATCGGTTGCAACTGAGTAAGGATCTACAGATTACGTAGCCAACGAATAATAACGGTGTTTCTCCTCGGCCAGAGCAAGTAAATTGGTGCGGTTCATCGAAGGAGCTCGGATCTTCACCATCCAGGGGAGGGAGCTGTGAGACACTTTGTCCACCAGCGTAGTACTATCCCTGTGCAAATGCATGTTTGTAATACGTGTCGGGCCCGATTGCAACATGCTGCCGGGGCTCACGATCCAGGAGTGTTCGCTTGAAACCACCATAGACGCCGGGCATTCGCCGCAGTTTCGCAGGTGCTGCACTGAAGCTTGCTTTCGGAATCAATACCTTGCAGATCACCTCGGAAGCCCTTTCTGTACCCCACACCCGACAAGAGCCCGTTTTCTACCCTCATGACAGTCCGCTCTATAGAGCATGTCACACCATCCAGTTGTTTCCAGTTGTAATTAAAGGTGCAGCTGGCTCCTCTTGAGTCCTTCTGTTTCTCCAGCCTGAAGCGAAAATTGTTCATTGCTGTGA